TATGTAATGACTTAATAATTTTATATATTAATTTATTTAAAAAAATTTTTTGTATTATTTGTATATATTCTTGCATATGGCCCATGCAGGTTATGGTAATATTAATATTAATCTATTAATCAATTTCAATCTTTGATTTATGGACATTGTTGTTACTTTTATATGGTAGATAATTGGCCATGTGATGTCCAGTGTAAAATCTGGGCTGTGAAGTAAAATGGTTTGAAAACCACCATTAAAGAGATCCATGTGCTTTTATGTTTAAAATATATTCAGTGTAAATGTTTAGTCTTGTGGTAGTTTATGTATTAATATCCGTGATGCACACCTGCAGTGAATGACATATGATCTGAGTCTGTTCTTTAACAGATTGGTCTCTGGTCTTCCATCCCTTACTTTTCCCTTCTACACCTGCTCACCCCGTCTTTCTTCTTCCAACCACTATGACCTCTCGCCAACACCAACATCCATTACCCTGATGATCCCCATGATCTGTCCATCCCAGCTCAGCATGTGAAGATAGATTTCTCAGGAGACTTCTCAGGAGGCAGTAGATCCTAATGGCTTCAGCTGTGTCTGGGAGCTGTGTGGGTATATAGTGTAATGGTAAAGACCTAGTCTGCTAACCAGAATGCTGCATGTTGAGCCATCAGCGTTGTTAGTCACTTTGGATCAAAGCATTTGCTAAATGACGAGGTCTGTGGAGTGCTGGTGCATAACCTTAGTCTTATCTTGACACCATACAGGCTGCACTGCTCAGGGAAACCCTAGGGCCAATGTAGCTGGACACTTCCATCAGTCTCATCAATTATTGACTATCTGACCTGTAATCCAGAGAGCTTTGTCTGAGTAGGTTGTTAGTTGAATTGCTGAGCAAAAGACAGTCCTTCTGCCATTCTTCTATGTGAGTGTGAACTTTCAAGGAATATTTTAAAATGGCTGTTTCAGAATGTTCTATTGCTAGAAACTGTTTCCTGTGCTCTGTGTTTAGGAATCTATATAGTGGTTCTACACTGCTGGTTTTGATTCAAGACTCAGATTTATACTACTAGACATTAAGTAATCTAGTCTAAAGAAAAGTCTAAAAAGTCTAAAAATCCAGTCTAAACACTGTACTAGAATTTATGATCATACAAAAGTAAAAATAAAAAAAAGATGGATGGATAGATAGATAAAATAATATAATTAAAACTTTTTTTTATTTTATTTTAATAAATGAGATAAATTTGTCCCAAAATACAGTGCAATTTTATTGGATGCACAGCCTTTGATGTCCACAACAACAGAGATTTTCCCTTTTAAAAGATGATAAATTTGTCCTAACTATTACATGGTTAATTGTTTTTTATTATTTGCATTTAGCATGTTTTTCTCTGCTGTCCTGTGATCCAATTAGAACACACTGTAATACATGTAACATTTCTTATTTCTTATGCGCTTTGGAATTGCAGAACAGGGATGGAAAAAGTATGTCTGAAAGTTACATGGAACGACAAAAACAAAACCTCCTTACTCTGCACTTAATTTATCACAGTGTCCTTGATACCATCTGTGCAGTTTGACAAATGATCAGACTTGTCATCAAGCCAGTAATTTATAAAGAAATCCTCATATTAGTGAAAGTCTCCAGGCTCTGATTGGACGGTTCAAATGGAGGGTGTTTGAAAGCTGATGGATGGAGCCAGAGCCCTGTTGTCATCTTAATCGGGGTTTCCACGGTGATGGATGTTGTAATCTTAATCAGGGTTGGCTGGGTGATTGATGAGATGGGCTGTGACAGTGGGGTCAGTGAGCTGGCCGTCCGAGGAGAAGAGGAGGCAGGGTCATCGGAGGACAGAACATGGAATGGCCATTTCACATGACAGCGCAGCCCGCAACGTCCACTCATGCACGCTTGCTCGCTGACGGCCGAGACATGGCACTGTTCCTTTCTCCTGTTTCACTCCTTCCCATTCTTTCCATTTCCCAGTTCTACCTCCTTATGCCTGCAGCCATATAATGGGCTTTTTGAATTGTGTAATTATTTTATGTTGGTCCTTGACAGACTGTGGAAAGTGCTTCTGAAAACAACCCTATTAACACAAAGCCTTTCAAAAAGAAAAGTAGTACAATTAGCACTATATCCCGCTGAATTTGAAAAAAGAACAAAAAAACTAAAAAAAAATAATAAGTGCTTTATTTTTCTGTTTTTCTTAGAAATGGAGACAGCAAAAAAGCAGATGGATATGGACAAGAAGGCTATAGATGAACTGGTGCGGGAGAGGGACATCCTGAATAAGGTGTGCGGACACTTGTTTCTAATTTACTACTAATGTTTTTCTAACAAAATTTATTGAAAACAACCTCCGACAAAATGTACTAAATCTAATGAAACATTACAAAATGTAATGAAACCACCTTAAAGAAATACACTTGTAAGGAAAATAATAAAGGGAAAAAAACATGTTCTTTTAGGGCTGTCAGTTGATTATATATATTTTTCATTTTATTAATATAATTGTTTTAATTTAGATAAATAATTTAGATTATTATTTGTGTTTAATTAATTAAATGATATATCAAATAGCTATTCAAATGAATCACACTCATAAAAAGCTGTTAAAAACTAGATTTATTTATTTAGATTATTATTGAATTAATTAAATAATATATCAAATAATTAATCAAAATAATCACACACATAATAAGTCCCTAAAACCTTTGTTTATTTATTTAGATTATTATTTGTATTTAATTAGTTAAACGATATATCAAATAATTAATCGAATAAATCACACACACATAAAAAGCCCCTAAAACTTATTTATATTTATTTTTGTTTGTTTATTTATTTCAGTAATTAAATAATCGAATAATATAATGAATAATATCAGATAATTAATCAAATGAATCGTACACATAAAAAAGCCCCAACAACGTTTGTTTTAGCTCTTTTAGTTTGATGTCCTGAAACTAATCTTAACACCAGGTAAGCTTTTCGGTGAGTCTTTATGTTTTATATATTTGTCCTTAGGGCTAATTTTCTGCATTTCTCATAGCTTCCCCACGCTGTTATGATGCACAGATGGATTTCAGAAAACAAGAGAAGGTGCATGATGTTTCTGCTGACATGCTGAATATTGCATTGCTATTGTGCATATGAAAATAACAGGATATTCATATTTAATTGCACAGGAGACACTCTGTCTCACAAACACACACACTGTAGCGTACAAACACGACTTTTGATATCAGCTTACCTTGGAGAGTCATTCCTTTGATCTACTGAACAACAATACATGAGAGAATAAAATCATCCTATTCTCAAACTTGTTTTTTAATGTCCATTTTCTGAAAACCTTGAGTCACTCTTGCTAAGTATATTTACAAATTGATCTTTAGTGTAACCTCTTGTGTCGGTGTGCACATGTTTTTGTTCCAGAATATGATCAAGGCGGCCAATGAAACGGACAAACAGCAGACCATTGTTAAGCTACACGAACAGTCAAAGAAGACTCTGGAACAGGAGATTTTAAACTACAGGGACGAAGCCCAGAAACAGCGAAAGATCATCTACCAGCTGGAGAAAGAGAGGGATCGCTACATAAACGAGGCCAGTGAGCTCACTAAGAAGGTACAGCACACACACACACACACACACACGTTAGCCATTGCTCAGTGAGTGATTGAGAATGTCACCTTGAAGTTAATTTTGTTCATTTTTTAAACATATTTTGAAATTTTGATGTTATCATACTGGTTTCTGTTTTTTATTTTTTTATTGAAACAGAATGGAATGATTTAAAGTGAGACAAACCAACTAAATAACCAAACATGATGTCACTTCCTGAAGGATGATGTAATTAAAGGTGGCTTTTGTCTGTTGGGCATTTTACAAAAGAGGATAGAAAGTGAAATTAAGGACACAGGAAAAACCTACAAAATGACTATTAATTTAAAGATGATTTGCATAAAATATACAAATATATTTGGAAAAAAAGAAACATAATTAGGTGTAGGATTTACTTTGAAACGATTTTTACTCAGAAATTGCTTGTAAATGTCACAAATAATTACAAAGCATCAGGACATTGACTGTAAGATAGCGCCCCTTGTGGTAGTACTGAGAATGCAACACATGATTGCACTGAGATGTGAATTGAATTTGAACCCATTTCAAAACATCACAAATTAAATCTAGCTTGTGTAGCTTGATGTGTTTACATTCAATCTTGCATAAAGTATGTTTTAGGCCTAAGAGTGAAAAATATTCTAAATCCCCTCACATTTCTTTCTCTTATGATGTTTTGCTTTCTAAGAGTTGTTGAGAGTTGAGAGTCTCTTGGTTTTTGTCTTGTAATCCCTGAAGGCATTTCTTCATTCTGCAGTACTTCAGCATGCTTGTGAGAGTCATCTTACTGATTACTTTATAATACTGTTGCATATCGCAATAGTGTGTATGTGTTTGTGCCACTCTATACGCATTTCAATGCAGTAACTTTTAGGCACTTATGGGCAAACTTGTTTAGGTATTGTCATGATACACGGAGCAGACTACTCGGTGAACTCAGTCTTAACTTTATCACGCTCAACGCTCATAGAACATTCTAGCTATGTCTCCTTCAGCAGGCTGCACACACTGGCCCCGCCTCTAGCAACCCGCAACCCTGGACCCCGACCCAGAACAGCCTATCACAATAAACTATTCACATTTCACCACAGGTATAATGGGCAACTATCAAGTTAAGCCAAGCGTGCTGTGAACAACATAATTAGAGAACAGTCTGACTAAGTCTGATGCTCATCCTGTTGTAATTACATGATGGTATTTCAACTTTATATCAATAATCTACATTTCTTAAAGGGCCAGTCACCCAAATGCTTTACAACTATAGGACAGGAAGAGCTAAATAAACTTATCACTGCATCTAAACCAACAACATGCCTGTTAGATCCTATACCCACTGTAATGGGGTGAAGAATCACACGACAAGGATATCTTAAGAAATCCCCCGGAGGGTGGATTTATTAGTGAGGTGGGTGCTAGGGAGAAAGGTCCAGGTCAGTGCTCCGGTGCCGTGAGTACTCTCTTCCGTCTTCCCAGTGCAGAGGGTCCATGCAGTGCTCCTGTGGGGCTGGTCAGTCACACGCTGCTGTCTGTGGGAGAAATGAGAGGGCGAGTTAGTGCTCAGTCTCATGGAGGG